ATGCATCAAAATAAACAATATTAATAATGATAATAACGTTATACAGATGCAGATTGTCATGAATAAAAAAAAAAAAAAAGTGTTTACAAAATGGCGCAAATGGATTTGCTGTTGAAACAACATGGCGCAAAACATGAAAATTACAGTTGCAACAAATTGCACCAAACATGTCTTGCACCTTATTGCGCAGTGTGTATGATAGGGTTCATGTGTGTAGTCTTCCAACCGAGACTGAATATTAAGCAGGTTGCGGTGCTTTCTTTTGGCACATCATTGACCACCTCTCCAAATGCAGAAGTAAACCGTCAAGATTTGATTGAAGATTACTTAAACAATGTACTTTTAATTAATTATGGATTAATTATTCACCCAAAGAACAACAATGGGCTCTAGCTAAATAAACATTGTAAATATTTTATATCTTGCAGTCATGAGAAGAAATTTCAGAGATTGCGATTCGCAATTTTAAATATTTACACAAACATGAGACAAGAGCTGCTTAACTTTTCCACTGCAAATGTCACAAATTGAACTTAATACGATGCAAAAACATTCCATCTTGCTGCGTAGCCGTTGGCAAATGCATTGTATGTGAGGTTATGCACAATATTTGCATTCCTCGGTCAAGGTTACATGATTTATTCCCCCCCTTTGGGCGGCGGATGCATGTCATTCACACATTACCTCAATATTATTTTTATTTACCTGTCTGTTTTGGCAGGCAAACAGCAGGTCCTGCTTTCTCCCTTAGGCTGCCGTTATTTAAGTCGTATCCTCATCTATGACTCCGGCCTGTCCACCTACATGATTTATTGACAATTGAGCCTGACACACAATTTAAATGCGGGCTGGAGTAGCAAAGGCCTGGCCATGTCTGATAAGAGAAGGAGGCTCTTCTTCACCTCTCTGTCTGCATGGCTAAATAAACTGCACTTCGGCCTCGGCTTTTCGGCACGCGGGGCATGAACTGAGCGACCTGACCAAGCATGACAAAAAGACTGCATTGGAGAAGAGAACAGCAGCCATGTGACAAAACCAAGCAGTTTTGAAGGTCACATAAAACCTTGCTTCCCAATAGATCTGCTGAGTGTTTTGCGTTCACTGAATGTTTTGTGTGCAGCTTGTACCGTCATTTTGATGAGATTTTTGACTGAGTGGGTTTTGCATATGTTTATCCAGCCTGATCTCACGAGAAAACGTAAGTATTTTACGTTTTGCCAGTTTAGTGGCTAATTTGTACGAATTCGTACGATTTCAGTCGTACGAAATGATACGATTTTAAAAAGGAGGCGTGGCACCTAACCCCACCCCTAACCCCAACCGTCATTGCGGGATAGGCAAATCGTACTAAATTGTACGAATTAGATCGTACGAATTCATACGAATTAGCCACTAAATGAAAAAGTTACGAATTGCCGTGAGATTGTGTTGGTTTATCAGGGTTTCCGTGGGGTCTCAAAAAGTCTTAAAAATGTAAACTTTAGGCCTTAAAATGTCTTAAATTCATTGTTCTAGTCTTAAATATTTTTGCACAGGACTTATTTTCCGATGTCCATGTAATGCTACATCTAATGCTCCTTTACATTATATTTTTGTTGCTGTTGCTTGGTTTTCGTGATGTTGTAGTTGTTTATTTCACTAGTCCTAATGTAATTTGTGGTATTACAAGTACAAATTGGACCAACATGCAATAGCCAATAAGCTTTTTGTTATTTGCTCAGTGCACGCGGTGAATGTGACATCATAGCTGTGTTTGCTGAGGATCGCTTTGGGTGCGCGCGACATGATTTCGGCTGGCGGAACTGTGAGATGTGGGTGAACAGTTCACATGGTGCCGCGTTTCATTTGAGAACCATAGGGGGAACCAGATGACCAATCATTCTTGGCTAGAAATTGCATTGTGGGAAAGGAGGAAAGTTTTGGTAAAAGTTTGAAAAAAACCTGAGGGATAAGTTTGTTAAAACAAATAAGAGGCCATAGCAAAAGTGGAGACCCATGTAGCTTTATCATTACAGAATGTTTTTCCACCATTTGTAATTTTTTAACACTAAAGTAGAGTTTTGAATTTAAATTAATTTACAAGCTACAAACTGTATGTAAACTATGTAAATGTAAACTAATCTCTCCGTCGTCTCTTTTCCACCGCAGTAAATATTTAGTTTGCAATGTAGCATTACGTTTAATCCAAGTTCAGTGGTGCAACATAAAAATGTTTAGTAATGTGTAAGATATTACTTAGTGTCGCTTTAAGTCACAACTAGGCTACATTTTAGCTTACGCACTGCTGGTACAACCGGCCCCTGGTGGGCCTGATGGTTTATGTATATTGATGTTTAAAATTTAGACTTAATTGAACCATTTTAAATCAGCATTTGAACCATAGTCATTAATAAATACATTTAAATTTATTTTGGAGTTTTTCACTTTTATAGGATGCAAATTTCATAAATCAGACCACTGGTATTAGATAGATAGATGGATGGATGGATGGATGGATGGATGGATGGATGGATGGATGGATGGATGGATAGGTGGGTGGGTGGATGGATGGATGGATGGATGGATGGATGGATGGATGGATGGATGGATGGATGGATAGATAGATAGATAGATAGATAGATAGATAGATAGATAGATAGATAGATAGATAGATAGATAGATAGATAGATAGATAGATAGATAGATAGATAGATAGATAGATA